GGAGCAACCCAACACTGGAAGCTGGGTAGAAAAAGCATTTAGTTTGCCAGCAATGTCATATATAGATGAAAGGCCTGTTTATGGTACTTAGCTACTGGGATGTATAGATTAATTTTGGCAATTCTGAGCTTATGTTCTTTTTAATACTATGTAAAACATAAATTTAATAAAAAATAGCTCATTTTTAAATAAGAAATATATAGTTAGATCTTAATATTTTATATATGAACTTTATATAATGAATTTTGTTTCTTTCAATGGGACTTATTTCTTTATACCCATGCATAGGATTCAGAGTTAAATTCCACTATCATAAAGGTAATTTTGAAGCCAAAATTACCATTAAGTCTCCTTAATGACTATGAAAAGAACAATATATGTAGAAGACATCAGTGACTGCTATTAAAAGAAGTACAGTAAGTTACAGTCCAACTGGATAGACAGAACTGATCATATGATTGTTTAGATTTGCACCTTAATTTTATTTATTTATCTAAGATGCCATCCAACTTCAAATTACTCTTACTCATGGTATTTAAAAGCAAAAGGAAAATGCAATTTAAAAAAAACGAGATGGCAAAACTAGTCAACAAATATCTAACGGACCAGTGGTGAAATCCAAATTTTTTTACTACCGGTTCTGTGGGCGTGGCTTGGTGGGCATGGTGTGGCTTGGCAGGGGAAGGATACTGCAAAAGCTCCATTCCCACCCCACTCCAGGGAAAGGATACTGCAAAATCTCCATTCTCTCCTCACTCCTGGGGAAAGGATATTGCAAAATCTCCATTCCCACCTCACTCTGGGGCCAGCCAGAGGTGGCATTTGTCAGTTCTCCGAACTACTCAAAATTTCCACTACCGGTTCTCCAGAACCTGTCAGAACCTGCTGGGTTTCATTCCTGGAATGGACCCAACAAGGGGCTCCAACCATCCTAGCCTAAAGCCTGTAAGAAGAGCTAGGTCTTTAAGGCCTTCCAGTCAGGGTGGAAGACATCCAGATCTCTGGGGGAATCCCATTCCAGAGGGCAGACACCACAACAGAGAAGGCACACTTCTGGGGTCTTAATCAAAAAAAGGGCTTCCTGATCTAGAAAGCCTAAATGTAGCTCTGCAAGGCCTGTCTCGGCCACAGCTGCCGCCTGCTCATCAAGCAGGATCTGTGAGTCCAGGAAGATGCTCAAATTGCAGACCACTCTTGAATAATGAAGTACTATCTCATCCCAGGTTTTTTATACTATATGTTTTTTCCTTTTCTGACTGGTAGTTTTAAAGTATATATTTCAATAAAAAGATGAAAGAGCAAATTTGTAGACACATCTCCATAAAGGATCTGTTAAGCACACTAAGTACAGTAATAGGAAGGTAGCTAAATAATTCTTTAGTGTCATTTGTTATGGAACTCAATGTAAAATCGAATAACGTTATTAAATGAATTTTTCTGTATCTTTCCAAAAAATCTCAAGGGGAAGAAACTAGGTTTCTTGGCAACAAGGTCAGTTTTGCTTTACATTTCTCAGTTCATTCCAGAACTGAAGCTATTTCACACTAGATTATATACTACTGTCATTAATTGGAGACAGGCTGCAATATTTGGAAAAGTATCAGCTAGGTTGGATTTTTAGCATTTTAAATTTTTGTTGAGGTTGTAATAAAAACTACTATCAGTTATTTCAGTCTCTTTAAAATAAATAAATTTAAAGTGTCAACAATAACCATTATTGTTTGTAAATCATCATAAAACATACATGAATTGCAATTTGGGTAAAAAGCAAGGAGTGATGTATCAAACCAAATATGTTGTTTTAGCCTAGTAGGATTTGTTTAATGATGAAATTGAAGTTGCAGTTAACTTTGTAATAGATCTTACACTGCAACCTTTTCCAACTTGATATGTTTAGATATGAGGCAATGATGTCCATAAGATTTCAGTCAAAATAGTCAACATGCTGGTTGCAATCATGCAAAAAAGCCTTGTCCTTTTTTTATATGAGTATTGATAATTTTTTTTTTTACCCACTTGCTATGGATCATTTTCAGAAAAAGCCAAGTAAGCTATACATGGTCAGATCCCAGTAGAGACCCAGAGCAGCAATGGTTGGAAATTGGACTGGGCCTTATGGTTCAAACTTCTCATCTTAACATATAACTGAGATTGTGACTGACCCATTTCCTGGATTAGTTCAGATTAATAAGAGAATGGCTGTTTTTAACACTATGATTTTTGCTGTTTTTTTTTTTTTAAGGATAGAAATGAACGCACTAAACTTTTAGAAGAATAAGTACATCTGCTTCCATTTTACTCTCCAACTCCATCAAGCTGAACATTTTGGCCATATCCAACAATGACATCATTGTATCGCTGCCAGTGTCTCAGAGGTGAATTGTGGCCTCTAGATATATATCCCACTTATTCAGAACAATCCAATATAAATCTTTTGAATAAATAAAGATTACAGTACTTTCCATCCTTGCATACAACTATTCAGATTTTTTTTTTATTTGAAACATTTATATATGTTTTATATGTAACAAACCAACCATCTTATAACCAACTCTGGGTGGTTCTCAGTCAAAAGTAAAAGCAACGTTCTAGTTGTAGCAAAAATAAAGCAGAGTTATATTCTCAAAGCAGTTTCTTAAGGTCATAGTTAAGTTGGATCGAGCAATAACTTTGCAGTGCTGTACATGTTTCCAAAGTATGCCTGAGCATATTTCTCCTATTTATAAGTGTGCATAGGGATGTAGCCTTAATAACATGGGCATCCTTGTTTACTTTCTGATCTTACTTTTTACTACTTAGCCAGTGGTGGGCTGGTTCAGATTGGTTCGGGTGAACAGGTAGTTCCGACCAGCGGTTGGGCCCGCCCACCTGCCCTAGTGCTATCACGTCCTATATAACCAACGGTTTTTCAATGCGCTCACATTTTCGGTTCTGGGTGAACTTGTTGTGACGCCCACCTCTGTATTTATCTATTGAGAATGTTTACTCCTATAGAAATAATTATTATAAGTACAACTGGTATCAGGATTTTCAAGAATAGTGCTGTACTTGAACATCTAGATACCTGAGTGACAAAATAGGAAAGGGAAAAAATGTATGGGGTTCATTTCATGAAATGAATACCATCTATCGACATGCAATATAAATAGAGGCTGGAGATGTATAGCAATTATTTTAATAAACATCTCTTTTTAAATGGGCATCTTTTGCATATTAACTTATTGACTTGTTTTATTTAAATTACATCTAACTATCTCATGATGGCATACATAGAATTTTCACATGAATTCTTTTCTCACATAGACACACTAGTATTTTTTTTATTTTTATCCTTAGTGTTCAAATTTTGCTATAACTTCAAAAATAGGTAGCTAAAATAGATTGTACTCTAAGCAGTCTATAAGAAAAAAATTATGTTTGAGTTTTTGGGGAGAAGGAAGAAATTGGAAAAAAAGACAGCTTTGTTTTTTAAAAAAGAATAAGAGCTTTGGATAATAGTGAAGAAGAAAATATGATTTATAAATGTGGAATATTCTTCTCAACTGTGCCTTATATTTATATTTATAAATTCACATGTACGATTTTATTAAAAAGGTGGTAGAAGGTGCATAAAAATAAAATGGCTTGCTGTGTGATACTTACGGTAAATGGTGGTCTGCAATTTCATCTCTATCACCTAGAATATATGTTTTGTTTTCTAATATTCAACACCTTTGATAGGTTAAATAAGATTGTTTTCTTAAAAAAATAGTATTTATATGTCTAGCTTGGATAATATGCTGCTAGTTCTGAACTCCCCCCTCCCCACACACAAACACATGTATTAATGAACTTTTTTTGTGTGGAAAAATTATGATTTACTTCGAAGACATTTGTTGTAAACATGTTGGAAGCGAGAATGTATGGTTTCTATCTTAAACCACTAAAAAACATCTGCATGTCTTTTTAGTGCTGACTAATGGTAGCATTTCTGTTGGTCTGATATCCCTAGTGATTTTCCACACACACACACACACACACACACACATATATATATATATGTAGAATTAATATTTCTGCTTGGGGAAGTCCAATTTAACTACTGTCCTTCATAAGCAAAACATGTTCTAAAATTATTATAGTTTTTGATTATTGGAATTAATTAGAAACTGTACAGAAAAAATATATTTAGACCAAGCCAGGACAGTTTATGACTTGCCAAACTGAAAGCAGTGCACTGATTGTTCTAGAGCTGGGGTGTCCAACCTTAAGAACTTCAAGACTTGTAGACTTCAATTCTCAGAATTCCCAACCTAGAACTCTGTGAGTTGAAATCCACAAGTCTTAAAGTTCCCAAGGTTGGACAACCCTACTCTAGAGGTTAGTGCAACTTTTGATCCAGGCAGAGCATATCTGTCTAATTAATAATAATTTTTATTTATTATATTTTCATCTATCCAATAATCAAAGTTCTGGATGTATGAGAAAACTGTTTGTGGAATAAAATGATAAAAAAAAATCTTCTTCACAAGAAGAAAATAAAATACAGAAAACTCACTGTTCTAGTGAAATGCACTTAAAACTAAGCTGGCATTTTAAGTGTTCCAAGGTGTTTTTCTTTTTCTAAACAAAATTTTAAAAGTAAATAGAAACACTTGATGAAACTGTATATTTATGATGCAAATAAATACACTTTCGTAAAAGATGAAAAAATTATGCAATCACAAGCTTATCACAAGTGTATAAAATGGGGGAGGTCAGAAGCAAATAGTGACCCCATAAGAAATACAACACATGAGTAGAAGGTTTCTTTTTCTTCTCTTTTCAATGTGACTGAGAATAATAGGGACTAAAAGAAGAAAATTAGGGGTGGAAAATTCCTCATTGATGCTTTAAGAAAAATTATTCAATACAATGGGATTGTTGAATTTCCATTTATGCACTGAAGAAAATACATATGTACGCCTACATGTGCCATGCAACTGTAGAGCTACATACAGTAATCCAGTAAAAGATGTGCCTAAATTATATTCTGTTTATTATTTGGGTGTAATATAAGAACCATATTCAAGCTTGCTTATCGCCTTGATCAAGGCATATCATCTATTGTAACAATATCTTTTAAAAAGATAATGTACATTTTTACAATGTAGAATGAACAGAAAGAAAATATCACTTACATTGAAATAAATTTACCTCAGTAATGTATCTTGGTATTAAAAAAATGACTGGGGTTAAATCGATGCAGTTTATACTTCAAACGAAAAGCTTAGGGTAAATTCCTAGACTGATGTTACACTTTAGATTTTAAAAAGTCAAATCTACCCATAAAATACTTTAAATTGGAGGAGAAATTCATTTGTTCATCATTTATTCATTCATTTATATCCTTATACATATCATAAATTTTGAGCCCTAAATCCTAAGGACACCTGCATTACAAGCAAGTCGTAGAAATGTTGCTTCAAACTTCATACTGGATATGTGTGAAAACATTTTAAAAATAGAATTTAAGGATACATTTTATTATGTTTTTTCCACTCCTCTGGGGATTTGTTTCTAACGTAGTTCTCATTTCACAGAATCGCATAACGAAAGGGGTAATTTAGGTCATTAAATCCAATCCTCAGCTCAGAGAGTAAATCCAAATTAAAGCATGCTCAGTGGAGTGCCATCCAGCTTCTGCTTGCACTCATTCAGCAAAGTGGAATCTATTCCTTCCAAAGATAATTGGTTCTACTGTCAAACTGCACCATTTTTGCACCATTTTTCTTTCAGTACTACTCAACAAAAGGAAAATCTTGCAGAATTACCAAGTGTATCAGGTGATCAAAAGAAATGTGTAAGTAGTCCTTGCTTACAGCAATGTTTGAAGTTATAACAGCACTGAAAAAAGAAAAAAAAATATTTGTCAAGAACGTATTAGGTAATAAGTATAAACATAGATTGAATACATAAAGTAGATACAAATAGAGGAAACATTAGGACAGGGACGGTAGGCACGCTGGTGCTCTTATGCACGCCCCTTACAGACCTCTTAGGAATGGGATGAGGCCAGTCCTCAACCTTACAGCCACTGCAGCATTCTCACAGTCATGTGATTGTGATTCGGGCACTTGGCAACCAGTTCACATTTATAACAGGTGCTATTCAGCAGGTTCTGACAGGTTTTTTGAGAAGTTCGAAGAACTGGCAAATATCACTTCTGGCTGGCCCCAGAGTGGGGTGGGAATGGAGATTTTGCAATATTATTTCCCCAGCAGTAGAGAGGGAATGGGGATTTTGCAGTATCCTTCCCCTGGAGTGGGGTGGGAATGGAAATTTTGCAGTATCCTTCCCCTGTCACGCCCACAAAGCCATGCTCACCAAGCCACACTACACCCACCAAGCCACGCCCACAGAACCTGTAGTAAAAAAAAATTGAACTTCACCACTGATTTATAACAGTTGCAATGTCCCATGGCCACATGATCACTATGTACAAGCTTTATATCTGTCTTCCCACAAGCAAAGTCAATGTGGAAGCTGGCAGGAAGTAGCAAGTTCTAGTCTAGTGACTTTGAGCTTAATGACCACAGCCAAAATGACTTGCTGTTCTTTTCTCATACAGCCTTTAGCATCTTTCATATGATGTATGTTGTAACTTAATGAAACTGATTTCAAGAAAACTTACTTGATATGTGAATAAGGCGGTTTTGCAGGTGAATATCTCTTATCATGAATCTTCATAATAGTATTCAACTGCACTTACCAGATAAAGTTAATTGGTATTAAAGAAATAGACCGAAGTAAAGAAAGATATACAAATGAGAAGATTCATCATTTTATTGGATTTGAAGGCCATTGAGTTGTGCATCTTAATTGGGGCCAGTTGGGATCATTTAATAATTGCTGTCAGAATATCAGATTTAATTCTCTTTATGCAAGTACTACAGTGGGATGAAGTTAAGCAAATTGTCATTTAAGGTTCCAAATGAACAAAGCTTTAATTAGGTTGATTAGCCTTCTATAAGACAAAAGAAGGAACTCTAAAAGTGATATCTATTATGAGTCTTGCATTACTAGTATCAAATGCTTTTATATAGTGTATGTATGCATTTGCATGATACTTATTTTATTAATTCATTTCTATGCTACCCATCAACAGCAGTTTTCACGTGAGTCCCCTGTAATAAAAAAGAACTATGCACAAAGTTAATATTATGTGGCAATTGTATATGTACTTTCCTCAGAATATGTACTTCTGAGTAGATAGGCATGCATAACAAAAAAGGATTAGGGACATTGCTGAGCCTATTAGGTTGTGCTCTCTTTTTTCCCCCTGGTGTATTGGGTTATTTTTTTCCAAATGTTCATTTCTATTTTTTTTTTTATTTTATTTTACTTTTGAGATGTAAGCTATCCAGAGTCATTTGGGAATTGGATGGTCTGTGATTCCAATAAATAAATTAAATATTCCAGTTCATGATGGTATATAGCAGTGATGGCTAACCTTTTTGCTGTCGTGTGCCAAAAGCAGGGGGAGCAGGGGGGGTATTGCGTGTGTGCATGCTCACACCCATAATTCAGTGCCCCACCCATGCTCCCCCCGCTTTTGGACATGACAGCAAAAAGGTTATCGGTGGGCCCAGCAGGCCTGTTTTTTTGCCCTCCTCAGGCTCCAGAGGCCTTCTTGGAGCCTGGGGAGGGTGAAAACAGCCTTTCCCACCCACCCCGGAGGCCGGAAATGGCCCATTTCCTGACTTCTGGTGGGCCTGGAAGGCCCAAAAATCAGCTGGCCAGCGTGCGCATGTGCACTGGAGCTGAGCTAGGGCATCACTCGCGTGCCCACAGATATGGCTCCACGTGCCACCTGTGGCACGCTTGCCATAGGTTCGCCATCATGGGTATATAGCATGTTTTTCTAGATATATCCTAACAGAACAGCATTCTTGCCAGACAGGAGAGCTTTCTGGTTCTTGTTTGGCTTATATGCAAGAATCAAACATAGATAATCCACAAGATATTAAAACATAGCATTTGGAATTTGTGTTCTTGATTATTCGACCTAATTAATTTTTGCTTTTTGTAAGCAACTCTCTATCCTAAACATTTCTGATAATCAACATCTCCAGTACAATTTATTTTCCTATTAAATAAGATTAGGACAGAAAGAAGTAGGAAAAAGATCAATCTAACAATCCATCTTAACTTAAAGATTCTGCTTAAAATATTGTACCTGTGCTTAAACTTCAAAGCTAATCTATTGGTGTTTTAATGTGTAATCTTAGCTGCTTTTGTGTCAAAGGTTCAAGTTGCCTGCACAAGAATAGTTTTCATCCTTTTTATCACACTTTACAGCTTTTAAGAACGATTTTTGTCAGGGATTGCTGTGTATACTAATAGACTAGAAAAAAAATTCTGGGAAAATGTAATGTAATTGAAGGCCGCCGAAAGATTAGCTAATGTATCTTCCAATTGATTTTGTTATTTTTCCCCCTAGTGTACTCCTTCTGACAATAATAAAATGAAAAATATTGACAGTAATCTCTGAAGTGAAAAAGGAAGGGTATCTTCCTTTTTTGGTTATGAAAACTAAGTACCAACTTAAAAATTTAAGTGATAACAATATTTATATGTAAATTAACTATATACAGTATTTATAGTTCTGTGGAATAATGAAATTCATTTTTCTAAAAAGATCCTTTCTGTTCATACCATTGACAGCTTCTGCATACCTAGCATTTCTTTGCACACCAACTCATATGGCTGCCTTTGCTGTGTAGTTCATTATAGAAATTTCTTAAATAGATATTTAATCTGAGTATGATCCTGACCAACTAGATATAAGGGCAGCAGCATGGTACCTTTTTAATAATTTGTCTCTTGGTGTTATTTTCAAATCTCTGCCAAATTTTGAATTGGAACTAAAATTCAGTTGCTGAATGCCTGTAGTATAGGTAACATTTCCTAGATCAGTATTGGGATATACAAGTTCTATTTAAAAAAGGGTGTTTGTTATTTCAGGGTGTATTGAGAGCCATATTTCCAATGGTTTTCAACCAGGGGCATCTCTGGGGGACCTATAGTATTTCAAGGGCATCACAGGTGAAAAATATCTAATAGAGGCATAGTGTGTGATGAAAAGCAAAGTGTATAATATTGAAAATACTATTATTGATGCCAGAAAACATACCAGTTATTGTGCCATGTCTATTCCCGATAATGGGATATGTACTGGGAGGCCCACAGGAGAAAACCAAGGTCAGAAGAGGGATAACAAGTGAAAAATGGTTGAACAACAAAAATAAATTATATTTCATTTAAATTTGTATTTGCATTCAATTAAAATTAAATATAATTAACATGTCCAAGTCATGTATGTAATTTTGGGTGGGTGTTGCATTGAGTTCAGAGTTGCAAAGATTGGGGGATCTTGGTGTTTCTTATAAACATTTGTAAACATTTCATTACCAAACTAGATAACATCATCAGGGAAACAAGAAAATGGGGTTTACTGGCCATATGTGCGTGACAGCTTTCCCTACTTGTCTTGATTAGGATTGTAGTTAGTGTGCTTGTTTCTGATGGGCCTACTGAACTTGCTTGGCTGTAATGTTTCATACAGGGTTGTTCTATCTATTTTGTTGGTTCTTCCTTAGCTATGAGCTAATTTGTGGAAGTCAATTCTAAGGCAGTATGTGCCATTGACTGTTTGTTTCCTCCTTTGGCTTTTGTTGCTTTTTAAATAATATGTAGATCTGGCTTGTGTCTCTGAAAGCTACTGCAAAGACTTTCAGGGATTATGTGAAATTAACCTTCAGGTTAGCTGAAAAGGATTAGATGGCAAATGAAGTTATGACAGAAACCTATGACATGTAAAATCGTGAAAGAAAAGTTGGGTCAACTCTTGATTATTTTCAATTTGCAGCAGCATTGACAGGTTTTATTGCCTAGGTTTAAAACATGGAAATGTCAGGGGGATCATGGATATCAATTTTCAAATTATGAGTTAAGGAAGTTTTAGTTTTGTAACGAATAATATTTTGAACATAATACCAGTGGTCAGATTATCTGAGGGACCACCTCTGTCAGAACTATTAGGTCCAGTATGAGAGCCAAATGCTGCTGGTCCCATCTGCAAAAGAGTTCCATCTGATGGCACCTAAAAGGTGCTTCTTTTGTGTTGTGGCTTTTGCCTCACTATGGGAGAGATAAGGCAAAAGCCTTATCTCTCCCATAGTGAGATTACTCCGAACCCTCATGGCTTTCCAGAAAGTCTTTAAAATATGTTCTTTTTCCAGTAAAAATGGAACAAGAACTTAGAATCATGAGGTAAAAGAATAATCTTTTCCTTACAATATTTAGAGAGTAGGTAAATCAGTGCAATTGAGCATGTTGCTTTCTTGTGAGACAGGGCACCAAATTATGAAATATGCCTGTTGTGAAATAGAAAAGTTTGGGCTCTGATTGCAATAGAACCTGCCTATTTTACTAGGTTTGTCACTTTACCATGATTATGTCACTTTCCTATAAAATGTTATATTTTGTTTCTATCTACTGAACACTTATGAGTTTATAACATATTCTTTACCTATTTAGTATGATTTTTGAGTGATGTGTCATTAAAAACATTAAAAGCTGACAGAAAAAAAAAAGAAACACAGAGCCAAACTCCTCCCAATAGTACATTTTGGGAGAGACATTAAAAGTAAATTGTGACAATATATCATATAATAATACTCAGTGGCATAGAACAGAGTAAAGCAGAATAAAAGAGACAGACTGTGGTACGATTAGCAAAAAGGCCTTAATAAAAATAACTGATGTTTCATCTGTAAAGATTTGACTTCGTAATTATAATTGAATGAAAAAGTGTTATCTTTAATACAGAAATGGTAAAAAAACAAATAATAAAAGTAAATCTGAACATAGCACAAATTTTTAGGAGCACATTTGATGATCATTTAATTAGTCATCCAATGCTCTGGATATTAAGAGACCAAATTAAAAGAACTCTTATCCAATACTTCTAAGAGGCATCCACTTAAGATTGTTTTAATGTTTCTAGACTTCTGTTCATTGATGATCAAATTATGCAGCCTAAGCTATATACTGTGGTGGCAAACCTATGGCACACATGTCACAGGTGGCATGCAGCGCCCTCTCTGTGGGCACATGAGCCGTCACCCCAGTTTAGCTCTGTCACGCATGCGTGTGCCTCCCGCCAGCCAGTTGGTCATCGGGTCTCAGCCGTTCATGTATGGAGGCGGGGGGCGTGCAGGGTGTGTGTGATGTGCAGGGGTGGGGCACATGCAGAGGGGAAACATGCATGCACGGGGGCGGGTGTATGCAGGGGGCTCACACACATTGAATTTTGGGGGTTCAAGCACACTTTGGGTACTCGGTCTGGAAAAGGTTAGCCATTACTGCTATATATTCTTATAGAACATCCATGGCAAACTTTCTGTTGTAAGCGTATGTTATCTTAAAACAAGTTCTTTCTCCATATTTTAATGTGGCTGTCTAGCCATATCATGCAAATGTGTAAATGTAGCTTGTGTTCAGGTTTTGCACTGAAATGTTTGAGACAGATGTTGGAATCTTATAAAGATCCGGATCCTCTTTCTTTTTCATAGTAATGTCTCTCTGCTCAAATTATATCTCTCCTTCTAGCATGCTGTCTCTGTGTTATAGTGCAGCGGTAATGACATCTAGTGTATAACTGTATAATGAAGTTGTTTTATTTTTTTTAATAAAAACAAAAATATCTTTTTTATAAAGAAAGCTAAAAATTAAGAAAGTAATATAAAGAATAGGGAAAGAATAAAAGGAAGGAAAAAAGGAGGACAAAGTCATAAATGCAGAAAAAAAAGTATAAAGAAAAAAAAGAAAGTAAGTATAAAGAACTAGCTTCCGATTTCCTTTATATCATAATATAAATTTACCTCTTACTCTGGTTATATCATGAGTTTCATTTTTTCTAAGATCTTTTTTGGAACTATCAAGATCATAAGTCATAAATTCATCTTTTCCTGTTCCACACAAGAAATCTAGAGAGAGTTTCCAGTGAACCATACGTTTTCTCTAATCAAATATGTTAATTTTTCCACTTTGCAAGTTCCATCACCTTTATCATTCATTCCTCCATTGTAGGCAATGTTGGCTCTTTCCACCTCTAGGCATATAACAATCTTGCTGTAGTAACCATATAAAAAACAAAGTTCCCTGACTCTTTCCTAATTGTTTTTAAATCATTGCCGAGAGAAAAGCCTCTTAAAGCATATTAAACTTTAAAATCTTTTGTATCATTTTGAATTGAAAACTTTCTGCTTTTTTCTTTAAATGTCCACTAAGCATGATAGAAGTTCCTTCTTGTTTACATTTCCAACATAATTTTGAAGTAACTTTATGCATTTGAGACCTTCAAATGTCTTCAGTGGCATACGCTACTCAATACATCATTTTATTTTTAAAAATCTCTAAGATTATGACAGGGTGTAAATTCCAGATGTTTTAACTACATATTCCTCCACTGTTCTATCTGAATATTATAACCAAAGTGTATGAAGAGGTATTTTTAAAGAGCCATATTTAGGTTTAAGCTATATATGAAGTATGCCAGGGAAAATTAATTTGATGATGGCTGTATGCATTGGCCTGTACATTCATCGGCTCAGTGTTTTCTCCAACATAAGCACACCAGGCTTGTCTATAAAGCATTTACTCTTTGTTCCATGTTTAGAGAATGGAACTAGGGTCATTTTCATTTAAGACTAATAATCAGCAGGGAAACTTCGGCTTTGGCAACTCTGTGTCTCTCTCAGCCTGATTTATCTTACAAGACACTGATTTATAGACTTAGTAAAGATTATGTCCTATTGAATTGGGTTTGGGCTATCCAATTCCTTCTTATGGGAAATGTAAATGCGTGTTACAATGCAAATGAATGCCATGTTAATCTTTATACTAACCTTGGTCACCATCCTTATCACAGTCTGTTTTACAGCCAGTTTTACATGTTGAAATGGACGATTCCTGCTGCAATTCTTAAGCAAAATTTCAGTACTGTAAAGCTTCTCCCGAAGAATGTTAGCTAGACTTGCCCATGTTTGTTACATCATATTGCAATTCCTCTTTTAATATGCATGAAACATTATCTTCCGGCGTCAATCCACATGTAGGGTTTTGTTGTGGTTGTTGTTTTTTTGCATGTCTAAAAGAAAACAATAGAAAAAAGACTCTTATGTTTATCTTTTAAAACAAAACATTTTTATTAAATCTCTACCCATGCAAAGTTAGAGGCAGCAGTTGATATATATGTAGTTCAAACCAAACCAGGGCATGGGGTGGGAAACAGCAGTGACTGTATCTAATTTAATATACAGATAGATATTTTTTAAAAAACAAAAGCTTACATCACCACCAAACACATTGGCTTTTCTTTCCTAGTTGTTTCCTTATTTATAAATTAAACATTTACACTCCTCCATTTTTATTTTCCTTCTTGCCCCTTGGGTGATTTGTTCAAAGGGTCCTCCGTCTGAAGTATTGCAGCAGAACAGATTCAAAAATTTCTGTTCAGAGAAGGAAGTGAAGAGTTTTGGTTCCTATTTTGCACTTCTGGAACAGTTTAAGGAAGGAAGCACCTTTACACCTTTTATTGTTCGTGGTTGCTGACATCATCTCCTTCCCTGACCACTCAGTGCGTGTTTCCTGCCATTCTGTCAAGACGCTACTGTGATACTGAGTGGGAGATGGACAGAATGTGTAAGAGAGCAGGCAGAGAAGAGACTGCAGTGTTTGGATTTGTCCACTGGAACTCAGATTCTTCTTCCCTCAGCTGTCTCTGCTTTTGCCAAATTGTAAAGTGAACAGAAGCCCGCCAAAATGAAGTTCCTCATTTTAGCAAATAATCTGATTTTTTTTTGTAAGTGTTTGGGTTTCCGAAAGGGGGAAAATGCTGAAGGCAGTAATTTTGAAGACTGTAACATCAACATTTTTAATGCATTTGTTTGCATATAATGCTGTCATTGTCTTAGAAGATTTCTTTAATGTAGACCTATTTGGATAGGGTTTCTGGAGTGATGTAATTCATAGCTAGTTTTGGGTGATGTACATTTTTTAGAGCAGCCTAGAGTTTGTGCTATTGTATTTTTTTTTATTTTATTTTTTGAGAAATGCATGGTAGGTTTTTATAGGCGACTGAAAGTTGATCTTGTAGAAGTTTCAGAGGCAGGTAGTCAACATACTTTTAAATATTTGGCAATATTAGAGAGTAGATGGCTCATAAATTGACTATGCTTTTCAATTTATCCCACAATATATTTATTAAGTTTCTTTACCATATAATTTAGCTGTAAGAGTTTGAATCTTTCCTATAAATATATATAAATGGTAATTTCTATTTTTAGTTCATGCATGGATATGAGCATATTTATAGCGGTATTTTTCTGCTATCTTTCGGGAGGGGGAGTATAATTCAACTGAAAAAAATCCTAAAATCCTACAAAGCCACTTTTGAGCAAAAAGCTATTCCTAATGTCTGTTGTTTATGACTGATAGAACTCTTGTATCTCTGAATCATGTGTATGTTTCGAAGTGCTTGCGTATGTGCACATATGTATGTGTGAATTAGTGAGTGTTTACAGATAGAAACAGTGAACATACTGTTAAGCTTCTTGATCCTCCACATTCCTGTATCTGAGAAGCAGCAACGTCATAAATGGGATCAATGTTTCCTTTTTAAATTGCAAGAGTTATTCTCTCTCTCTCCCCCCACCACCACCACTACCACCAACTTGTCAACAAATTGTTGCTGCAAACATGCACAATGGTTCGAATTCATCTTTTAAATTACAGTGATGCAAATTTGGTGTTCTGTCAGTCTTCCTAGTAGGTTTATGTTTGCTGGTTCCAAGAGGTATTTGTGAAACTATATTTAGAATATTTTATATAGTTGCTGAATACTTAACGTTCCTGACACCGGACTGTTTCTATTTTTCTTTTTCTTTCTGAAAGCTTGATATGAAATGTGGAACTGATAGTTGTGTAGGAGGGGCTAACCATGCTGCTGTTTTACCCCGGCTCTGCTCACAAGTTCTTGCAGACAAGAGTGTCAGCATTCAGTGATTTCCCGTTCTCCCCCTATTCCCCCCGCCCAAGGTTTTTCTCATGCAGGCTTCAGACTCTGGATGTGTAAAGCAACTCTCATCCTGGCTAACTGTCACCACTTCTTTAATCTGCCCACTCTGACCTTCCACCCTCAACAGAATAAGAGCTTAGGCAGACATAGGGCTGTAAGCCAATAGTGCCTCTGGCTCCACGTGAGTGAATGAAAGGAAAGGAAATTGTCCCATATGCTTCTGCTGTGGATTAGTCTATGGGTTGTCTATGTGGTGGAGAAAGCCTGTTAAACTTCTTTGGGTTCATCTCGTACATGAAAATTACCTGGATTTTTTAAAATCAGAGGTAAGAATCACTATTTGGTATGGATGGGAGATGGGGATGGGAGAAAGGCTAAGGGGATGCTCCCAAGAAAAAGTCCAGTCAAAAACAAATAAACATGTTACTGTAACTTCCAATAACTCTAAGGGACTATGACATGTTCAAATGTATATGATATGCAATACAGCTTTAGAGAGCTTGTTTGAATTCTATTCTATTTCTGGATTGTTATGAACAGATCAAGTTGCATCAGTTAAAATTGTAGAACTGTACAAATGGAACTGTTTCACCGACACATAGCCTGATTTGGATAGTTAAGAAAACATCAATGCTGCAGTTTTTAATGCTATAAAGTAATAGTACCAGCAATTATATTGCGAAAACATTATAAAATATACTGCTGATTTGCAGTATAACCGTATACATTTCTATCTATCTATGAGTAAGCCCAGTGAATTCCAAGGGAGTATATTTAAAATTGCATTTCAGAGTGTATAGAATGTGGAATTTGTGTGAAAGTAACACATGTTCCTTTCAGTTTCTGTTATAAAGCCAAATATCTTTTCACTAAGAAAAAGAGAAGAAAGGGTGACATCAAAATGAGAATCAGTTTTATTGTATGAAAAACAGTACATTGATAAATCATTGCTTTTTATTTTTTACATAATTGTTCAGGTTGGCTGTAAGAAAAACCAGTGTCCAATTAACCAGAAAAATCTTAGTCTGCACATTTATATGCTTTTAATTAATAAATAATTTTGTTATATCAGAATTGTGTATAAAATATTAAGGCTGCAATCCTACATGTTCACTCACCTAAAGAAATCTGACTAATAGGAATAGGATTTTACTGTAATATATACGAATATGGAAAAGCTGGTTTCTCCAACTAATGTTAAAATCTTTTCATGACATTTGCAGCCAACTTTTAGGATTGCAAAAAGCAACTGAGAGATTTCTGTCTTTAGATTCTATGTAATTTGCATTATATTTTTATCTATGGTGAATTTCCATTGGTTTTTAATTCACAACTATATATTTTATTTTTAGTTTATGTTTTGCAGTGAGTTGGATTAATATTGTGGCTTCTAGCATTTTTGTGGAGGAATATAAGAAGTGCTGCCATGTGTTTGTGGATTTTTGGTGCAATTATGACTTCTTACAATGTGGTTTTTGTTTGTTCGTTTGCAGTGTATGGGATTTGGTACATGGAATATATCAACAACTGTTCTATTTATTGTGTTTCCTGTAGATGGAGATATATACAAATGTATTTAGGGAATATATATGTACTAAACTATGATAGAAGGATGAATATTTTTCTTTTGAAATCTTTTTAAATGCAAGATAATTTTAAAAGATTTAAGAATCAGCTGACATTTCCCATATATCAAATAAAACATTAATAAAATAATGGTCCAGCCTATTTGCATAATAAGAAGCATTATTATCTCTTCTGTTTTCATTCAAAAGTGAATTAGCTTGATTACTTAGCTTGCATAGGTATGGAAGGCTTCATTAACTCTCTGATTCAGGTAATTTTTCATATTTCTGACGATGTATTAGAGAACAGAAAAATGTGCATCGATGAAATGTAGGAGAGCATTTACTTTAATTGTTATAGTGATGCCTTAAAAGGATTCTCCAACACTTATACTTTGAATCTCGTCTTATATGCATGAATGTTCTAAATAATTGTCTGTAGAACTAGAGTGCCAAAGGTATTTAAGAAAAACCTTGACAACCTATCTGTCAGTAATTAATAATGATAATGCTGAACCATTCTTGACTTCATTTCTAATGTAGTTGCTTATTTAGCAGTTCTACATGCTAAATGCATTCAGGCCACTTGATAAAATACCACAACTAATCAAGTTCTATTGAGATTTTGTCTGAGTAACTTAACTATTCACTTCTTTTGTGTACTTGGCAGGAACGGATGCAGGGGTCTGTGAATTGAATTGTGTAAGTGCTGAAGAAGGAGTCTTGGTTTGAGGAAACAGGAAAGAGGAAGGAAAGAGAAGAAGAAAATACAGAAGTGTAGGAACGAACGAAAGAAGAAAAACGGGGACTATGGGGAGAAAAAAGATTCAGATCACGAGGATAATGGATGAACGTAATAGGCAGGTAAGTTGAAATTTAAAAATCCAGTATCATCAGATCTTATAAAGGCTATAATCATCACATCTGCATTGAATCAATGGGACATAATAATGGATTATAACGTGTTTCATGTGTAGAGTTTTCAACTTCTATTGAACTATTAACATACACACATATTTGTAAAAACAAATTATTCCTAGAATTCCTTATCTCATGAAATGATTGATACTTAATGCAATATTTTTATTAAAGTAAAATACACTTCATTTTATCATCCATATAACTGCTTAGTATCTTAATTTGAATTAATCCAATGATCAAGATAATTCATATAACTCTTACCATTGTTTAATGAACTGATTTTTGAAACTGACTTGGGTCATATTGGATAGTTATATTGTTTAATGTTTATTTTGTAACGTAAAACATAACATGGTGGCACTTTGAGGACTTGCTCAAATTGTTATTCTTATTTTAAAAAATCCTTTTATGAAATCTGAGAGTTCTCAAGATAAAATGTCTAGTTTTATCTGGATAATTCTGAAATGTCAGCAATACATCTTGCATCAATACAGTATCCCTATACAGAAATTACTTCTGGAAAAATTAATTATTGTTGTTTAAAATTAAGGCAACAATTGTTTTCTATAAAAAAATGTATAGAAGCAAAGAAACAAACATGAAAAGTCAACACATATATGCAGGCATGCAAAAAAAAAAAGTCTGCTAACCAGAAGAACAACAGAATGTGACTCCATGCATCTTCAAATATGTTATGAATGCATGCTACATCTTGGGTTTAGATTAGGTTTTGAAAATGGGAATATGTTCCATTTAACTCATTTTAATTGATTATGCAGATCCAGAGGCTTATGGGTAATTGTTTCTATTCGAGCGACAGACAGGATTTCTAAGTATTATTAGTATTCCTTTTTCATTGCTAGATCAGTAAGAATACTTAATCTCATTTTACCCCTTGGAGATCCCTGTGCTGTCCTTAGATTCCAATGCAACCAAGGTATCCGTAACTAGCAAGCAGCTTTTTGCCTGTATCCCTCTTGCTGATCAGTTGAATGCCTCTTATAAATATGATGCAATGTAGAAATAATTTATAGTTCTAATTTTCAAGTGAGTCTTGTGTAAAATTTGAAAACACTGCAATTACAAGCATAACTTGACCTCTTCATGGCAGAAAATCAAGTTTCAAATAAAGGCAACAGTGATAATACTTGATAGATTCATTTAAAGTCTTCCCTCTAGATTACTTATTGTTCTGGGAAAAATCAAAAAGCATTAATTTTGTCAGTAGCAAAGTCTCATATCTGTTTTAATTGTTTATTGTTTGGAATTTAAATTTAAAAATAAAATAGAGGCTAGCAGCGTTAAGGATATAGACATTGGTAAATTTTGCCATAATTCTTTTAACCATTTTCTTTAAAGTTATGTCAAAATAAATTTAAAAGTGGAGGAAATTTAAATGTCTACTTATTTTTTTTAAGGGAATAAAGTTTGCTCAAACATCAGATCTTTTCTTTTAGGCAGACTTGGCAATATTTTCAGATGATACATTTTTAAGAATAGGTGTTTTCTGTTTTTATTGAAAAACTTCTGTATATTCAAAATACATATATGACTTAGTCAAGAAGTATTTGAATAAAATATTATTTAAAAAATCAGAATGTCACATTTAATAAATATTAATGATCAGAAACAGGATCAAGCCACAGCTAAGTTTTGCCGATTTCAGGACAGATTCAAACCAGTGAAGTTTAAATCAGTTAAATTTAAAGGAGCTTAACATTGACTCAATTATGAAAAATGTTCTGGAAGGTTAAAGGCCATTATATTTAATTATATTAATTATTTTTCTATCATTTCATTGGAAATGATCTGTCTTGTCTTATTCTTTGTTAAAATGCTTGCACAATACTTATGGCATAATTGATAGAGATGGATTCTGTTGTTGAATTTGTTTTTGAAAATGCTTAGACTTACTGTGAATACTCCATTGTAAGTTTGTAATGAGCAGGCAAACCTTTTATGTCCTATTAGTTTTGCTATTTTTTTAGAAAATAAAATTAAATGTTTCATAATTACTATAATAGTGAACTGATTAAATCAAGAGTTGGAAGAAGTTAAATTATATGACTAAATTATAAGTTTTTATTAGAGATTCTATGCATCTGACTATATTTTTCTAGAGGGGACTACAGAATAGTGTATAAACCAGAGCTACAGCCTTCAACAGGTTCAGTAAAAATCTTTTGTTTCTCCAGTGGTTAATTTCTGCTGGAGCCAAGCAGCCATCTTTTAACAGAGGCAAATATGGATCCAACCTATCATTGTTGTAAGATATAAGAGTGCATATTAAACTCCATATATACTATATATCTCTTTCAAAAATATTAGGAAAACAATTTTAGAATAGTGTAGAATATAATTCCTGATGAAATTGGGGAATTTAGGTTAGTCATGGCTATTTTTTTCTTCTGATTTCAGTGGGATTTTGTGAGAACTTTCTTTAGATACATAAAGTTTCTTTAGTTGCATAGTTTTGCATAGTTTTTTATTTAATAATGAGTGTTAAAAATTTTCACATGCTTGTATTGGAGACTTGCTTATGTTAAGTTAAAAATAATGTGTATGGAAGGGATCAAATTATCATTGTGTTTTCAGTAACTCTTTAATTTGCATAAGAAAATATACACAGGACATGAATGTTTTAAAATTAGGATCTGTTCAGTGGGAAATATAGATGGCTTAATTTTCTTTTCTGAAACATAATTTGGTTGAACGCATCTATAATATTATTACATTGACATTGGTAGACAAAAATTTAGAATTTGTTTCTTCCCTTTTTGGCTCCTGCTTGCCAACCTGGAAAAGGAGATACTTTCTTTCTGTAATAGAAGGATTATGAATTGCAGTACATTTAAATATATATATATCTTTTGTGATAAAATATCAATTGATCATTTTGCTGTTTCTGCTTTAATTCATCAAAGCACAAGTGCATAACATCACAAGGCAGTATTTCCTCAACACATGAAAATTTTTCAGAGTATTTTTAAACACCTACAATTTTGATCATCCATAATTTAATATCCTCCATTCAATATTTTAATACTTTTTCTTTTCTTAAGTTATGCATGTTAAATTTGGTTTGACTAGTTTTTAAATAGAATCTGAGATTCTCAAGATTTCCAGGGTATTTCAAGAATCATGTGCTCACTGAAATTTTTTTAGTCATGCCAAAAATAGCTTATAAAGTTTTGAGAGGCTATTATGTTATGGCAGCCAGTGCAAAAGCAGTTATAGAGATGGTGTACAGAATAATTCCAAGGAAGGGGTATAAAAATCAAAATGAATTAATCCCCAACTTCATGCTGTGTTTAAACACTTTCCTGCAAAATGAGTTTCCTCTATGATCGTCCAAATTCCTTTTTGCAAAATTTCTTTTCATTTAACATTGTAATACAATTGTGTTTTCCATTTGCCATTATAAAATGGAGTTAAATAATAGCACTCATTAATTATTAGTACAACTAAATACATTATGAAATACAGTAAGGTTTACTTTTAACAGTTAAGAAACCTGCTCTTCCACCATTATCACCGAAAGTAGAAATGTAAGAAATTAATATGTTAAAGTGACAGAATCAGTAGGTTTCATAATCCTGTTGTTAGGGTCAAATGCACTCTAAGAAAGCCATGCAAATACCGGTAGTATGTCATTCTTTTAAAAGATAATGCCATACAAAAATAAAAGTAAGCTAAGGGGAAAAGTGCAAAACATGGTTTCTGGAATTCTTAAGAGTAGCTCTTGATCATGTGACTTGAGAAGAAGGATGAGGAATAGGTTAAACTGGTAGAGTGAACAAAATTGGGAAGCACTTCCCAAATACAGTACATAGAAATATACTGTGTAATTTTTTTTAACATTTTTTCTTTTTCATCTTGATCTTTCTTTTGCCAGCTTTTTCACCTATAATGAACTTTTTCTATTCTGCTCTGTTTTAGAGAATTAATGTGCTGATGAATAGAGAGAATAGCAAACTGTTTACATGATTTATTTACAATACTCCTTTGGAAAGAAATATATTTATTTCAACTAAAACAGGCCCGTGTAATGTAATGTACAAAACCTACACTAACAGTATATTATAGCAAGTAATGAAAAAAATAAAAGAATTGTGTGTTTCTGTGTGTATAGACATGCACACTATAACACTGTGGTTGTGCAAGCACAAAAGAGTAGTATCAGTTGTGAATTATTAGTTAGAAAAAAGGCTCTCAATTTTTTTTTGCCATAACTGCCCTACGCTTTCAATGCACAACAATAATGTTTCAAAAGAAAGCAGGACAGATAAAGTATTTTATGTAAAATGTTTTACTGCTTTGATACTCAGCCACTGAATTCACTGCAAGTATTGTACCTTTATTCTTCCTTCCTTCCTTCCTTCCTTCTTTCTTTGGGCTGCTTAAAATATCAAGCCTAAAAATTTTGTTCTGCCACCTGAATATCTCTGGCTGTCTATATTCCTGGACCAGGGATTGGCACTGTAGCACCCATAGGTGCTATAGTGACCATGAAACCACTAGATGGCATACATTGTCTGTATATGTTTGGGTGGGGGGCTGTGTTTGCGTTTTTAAAAAAACACACATTTAAAATGGCCAAAATTCCATCCAAAGAGCCAAATTCCACAAGATCCCTTTCTGATTTTTTTTAATTCAAATTATTTCATTCTTGCATCTCCAATGTTGTAAGACATGCAGCAACTTCCAGCTTCCTGAAAAGATTATTAATTCTTTTGGGGTCTAAAAAAAAAAATCCTGCCAATCTCTGTGTGTTTGTGTGTGTGTACAGATATAGATGTAATGAGCTGTGTGACAACACATAAATACTGTCAATAGATAAATAAATCTTAGCATTTGAAACTACAGCTGGGCATTATGTGATTAAAGCTTAGTCTTAATATAAATTTATATTTACTTTTTTCCCCTCGACATTGCTGCATTAT